TTCATCACCTCTGGGGACACTGCAAAAAGGCACTATCATGGAAGCAGTGAGTAGCCCTCCTGAGATACTGAACCTGCTGTCATGCTGTTCTTAGACATCCAATTTCAGAGCTATAAGAAATAAATTTCTATTCCTTAGAAATTATCTCATCTCAGGTATTTTGTTATAGCAGCAGAAATGGGCTAAGACACAACTCACATCTGATACATGAGCAAATTCTATCAGTTTTCTATGAAAAATACATCTAGAATTCAACCAGTTCTTACTGTCTCCATTGCAACTAGCCTGATTCAAGCAATTCTACTTTCTCACTGAATTTACAGCAATAACCTCCTTATTGTTCTCCTGGTTCCTATCTTGACCCCACGTCATCATCCCATTCTCAACTCAACAACCAACTGTAGTGTTTTTAAAAATTTTACTCAATGTGCTATATCTCTTTGAATGACTTCACATCTCACTTAGAAAAAGTTCTTCTAATGATACACAAGACTACATGATGTTGAATGTCCATTCCTTCTTAGAGCTTCTTCTACTATAGTTTTCCCCATTCATGTGACTCTAAAATGCCAACCAGACTCCCACCTTAGGGTCTTTATATTTAACACCATTACCACCTTATGGAGTGCTCTTCTTTTTTTAAATTGATTTTATTTTTTAAATACAGTGGAATGCATTACAATTCTTATTACACATATAGAGCACAATTTTTCTTTTTTTTTTGTTTAAATTTTTATTTTTTTTATTGGTTGTTCACAACATTACAAAGCTCTTGACATATCATATTTCATACATTAGTTTGAAGTGGGTTATGAACTCCCAATTTTACCCCAAATGCAGATTGCAGAATCACATAGGTTACACATCCACAATTTTACATAATGCCCAATTAGTAATTGTTGTATTCTGCTACCTTTCCTATCCCCTACTATCCCCCCTCCCCTCCCCTCCCATCTTCTCTCTCTACCCCATCTACTGTAATTCATTACTCTCCTTGTTTATTTTCCCATTCCCCTCACAACCTCTTATATGTAATTTTGTATAGCAATGAGGGTCTCCCTTCATTTCCATGCAATTTCCCTTTTCTCTCCCTTTCCCTCCCATCTCATGACTGTTAAATGTTAGTCTTTTCTTCCTGTAGAGCACAATTTTTCATATCTCTGTTTGTATATAAAGTATATTCACACCAATTCATGTCTTCATACACGTGTTTTGGATAATGATGTCTATCACGTTCCACCATCATTTCTAACCCCTTGCCCCTCTCTTCCCCTTCCACCCTTCTGCCCTATCTAGAGTTCCTCTATTCCTCCCATGCTCCCCCTCCCTACCCCATTATGGGTCAGTCACCTTATATCAGAGAAAACATTCTGCATTTGTTTTTTTGGGGATTGGATAACTTCACTTAGCATTATTTTCTCCAAAGCCATCCATTTACTTGCAAATGCCATGATTTTATTATCTTTTATTGCTGAGTAATATTCCATTGTGTATATATGCCACACTTTTTTTTATCCATTCATCTACTTCGGGGCATCTAGGTTGGTTCCACAGTTTAGCTATTGTGAATTGTGCTGCTATAAACATTGATGTGTTGTGTCCCTATAGTATGCTGTTTTTAAGTCCTTTGGGTATAGACCAAGGAGAGGGATAGCTGGGTCAAATGGTGGTTCCATTCCAAATTTTCCAAGGAATCTCCATACTGCTTTCCATATTGGCTGCACTAATTTGCAGTCCCACCAGCAATGTATGAGTATGCCTTTTTCCCCGACATCCTCGCCAACATTTATTGTTGTTTGTCTTCATAATAGCTGCCATTCTGACTGGAGTGAGTGGTTTTGATTTGCATTTCTCTAATTGCGAGAGATGTTGAACATTTTTTCATATATTTGTTAATTGATTGTATGTCCTCTTCTGAGAAGTGTCTGTTCATGTCTTTGTCCCATTTCTTGATTGGGTTATTTGTTTTTTTGGTGTTTAGCTTTTTGAATTCTTTATATATCCTAGTGATTAGTGCTCTATCTGATGTGTGAGGGGTAAAAATTTGCTCCCAAGATGTAGGCTCTCTGTTCACATCACAGATTATTTCTTTTGCTGAGAAGAAACTTTTTAGTTTGAATCCATCCCATTTATTGATTCTTGGTTTTAATTCTTGTGCTATAGGAGTCTTATTAAGGAAGTTGGGGCCTAATCCCACATGATGGAGATTAAGGCCTACTTTTTCTTCTATTAGACACAGGGTCTCTGGTTTAATTCCTGGGTCCTTGATCCACTTTGAGTTGACTTTTGTGCATGGTGACAGATAGGGGTTTAACTTCATCTTGTTGCATATGGATTTCCAGTTTTCCAAAAACCATTTGTTGAAGAGCCTATCTTTTCTCCAATGCATGTTTTTGATGCCTTTGTCTAATATAAGATAGTTGTAATTTTGTGGGTTAGTCTCTGGGCCTTCTATTCTGTACCATTGGTCTACCAGTCTGTTTTGGTGCCAATAACATGCTGTTCTTGTTGCTATTGCTCTCTAGTATAGTTTAAGTTCTGGTATAGTAATGCCACCCACTTTACTCTTCCTGCTAAGGACTGCTTTAGCTATTCTGGGTGTTTTATAATTCCAGATGAATTTCATGATTGTTTTTTCTTTTTCTATGAGGAATTCCATTGGGATTTTGATTAGAATTTCATTAAATCTTTTGGAGTGCTCTTCTTAAGATATCCAAACTTTTCACTTCCCCACTCCTGTCAGGTCTTTGATCATTGTCACTGTTGTCCACTGAGACAGGATGGGCTATATTGTGCTGTAGTAATAAGGAGCCTTCAAAATCTCAGTAGTTTAGAACAAGTCCTAATATATGCAGATTTTTCTTTTGCTTCATGTCCTTCTCCCTCCAGGTTCTAAGCTGACAGAACAGCTACTAATGGAAAATTGCCATGGCAGACAGAAAAAATAGAGCATAATGAAGCATATAGTAGCCCTTAACGCAAAGCAGGATATATCACTTCTGTGCACATTTTATCAGACAAACCAAGTCAATGAGCATCTCTAAATGCAATTTAGCAAGATAATAAAATCCTATCATGTGCTCAGAAGAAAAATCAGAAAAATTGATGAAGAGTACTATAATATTAATGGTTACTATGGCCACCATCTAGCTGGAGCCCTCCTCAGCCATGCTATCAAAATTTGCAGGCTTTCTTGACCACTTTGCCATCCTCTATTCCCTTAACCCATTATATTTATTTCTTTAGAATATATCTCGACACATACTCTCTATATATTCATATTTATCACTTATTTATCTTGTTTACTTTATATAATCTCCCATTAGAATCTTAACTCCAAGGGATCAGAGAATTTTGCCTCTTTAATTCAATGCTGTGTTCCTAGCTCCTAGAACAGAAACTGCTATATAGAAGCTCTACATAAAAATCTGTTGAATAAATGAATGGATGACAAGAAAGATAATATTCATGTAAATTTTCCACGATTTTCAGTTGATCTGGCTTGGGATTTGGCTAGAGTTAAGGGGTTAGTACTAGTCATTCATTCAACAAATTTGAGTGTGTACCTAATTTCTGTGAGGCTGTATGCATCAAGGCAAACATCCCCATCCTCAAACATGCCAGACGCATGGAACATTGTTTGATATTATTTCTGCTAATGGAAGAGCAGGAAGTGCTTGACTTTTATGGGAGCAAAATTTTAATCTTCCATATTCAGCTAAGATCTAGCTGAAATCAACATCTTTCTGGAAGGTCCCATGTGTGACAATTTCTCCTTCCTGATCTGTTGCAGTTTCATCACATGCTGTGCTACTATCAACCAAAATTTATGTCAATGATGAAGTTCTCAGCATCTTAATTTGAAAAGTTTTCATCAGCTTGGGGCCAGCCTCTTTTTGTCATTTTTTTTAAGGTAGACACAAATGTTTATGTGGTGCTGAGGATTGAACCCAGTGCCCCATACATGCTAGGTGAGCACTCTATCACTGAGCCACAACCCCAGCCTCTACATCATGGTCTTTTTTTAATGAATCAAATAAGGCATCTCTCATTTGTGATTTAATAATCTCTTAACAGACTCTGCCTTCCTCAAAAGATTATTATGTAATTCATTTTCACACAGTGATACACAGGGATAATTCCACTCCACATTGAAGGTAGACGTTCTATAGTGAGGGATATGGATATTCACCGTTTGAAGACAGATCATAAACAGCCTATAGAAATGAAGTTAAAATGTAAATATAGAACCCAAGGCTGGTTGGCTTTCTCCTTTAGACATATGATTGCTGAGTCAATTATTTCCACCTAGATTTTTTTTTATACCACAACCAAGTGTGAAAAATATTTTAGGTAGCAATAGGTACGTTTGCATATGATGCACATGTAATTTCCGTGAGATTACATATCATCTTCTGGAAAATTCTACATTAAAATGAAATTCGCCACATTTCCCCCTGTGTCTTTATTATGTTTTCCTTAGCTGCTGTGCCTCAGTTTTCATGGCTTCCCACTACTTGTAGAGAAACAAGCAATATCCTCTAACTGGCCTTGTCTTCAGTGCTGAATCCCAGTCCACCAGTGCTGCTGTCTCCAACTCTGTTCCTGATCCAGGCATTATCCTATGCACTGGTTACACAGAAGAGCTCACTCTTTTCTAACATGCCAGCAGGATTCACTGTTGGCTGACTGCCCCTTAGCCTCTTGCTCTTTTTTATCCTTTCGAAAACAGCCATGCATTTTCTTCATTTAGGCATTTGTATATCACCTTCTTCAGGGGGCCCCATGAAGCTCTGGAGGTTAGGTTTTGATTAGTCTATGACCAACACAGAATGTGTATCCCCTTTGTAAGTGATTGGTTTTTAGGCATGGGTATATGATCACCCTTTTCAATAAGAAGTAAAGGGAAGCCAGCTAAGGAGTTTTAATGGAAAGTTTCCTGAAATAATAAAGCAAACACAAAAGAGAAAGGGGTTCCCTTCTTTTCTGCTTCTGAACAGGCCTAATGGAAGAGAAGATACCAAGAAATCTCAGCACCACATGGTCACGAGAGCTATCACACATTTGAGATGGTAGAGCAGAAAGATGAGGAACCTGGCATCCTGAGAAGGTAATTGTGCCTTTGGATTAAGCAATTATAAATACGATTAATGTTTTTAACTTATGTGTCAGGCACTGTTATAAGCATCTAAAATATGTTAACATGTTGGATTCAGCTATTATATGAGGTGAGCGTTACTTTGCAAACTAGAGAGAGAGTTTAATGACCATGGCCATTTTTCTTACCTATGTGTTTGTTTTCTCAGCTTTTTATTATAGAAAATTTAAAGTATAGACTAAAGTGGAGAATAATGTAGTGAATCCCCATGTGCCCATCAATCATTCAGTTTAAATAATTAGCAATTTATGGCCAGTCTTGCCTCATTTATGCCCCTGTCTATTTACTTTTTCCTCTGCCCCACATTATTTTGAAGCAAATCCCAGACCTCATATTATTTCATTCTGGAATACTTCATGCATGACAAAAACTTAAAGTTACTTTTATCTGAGTCTTCTGTTAGAACCAAACCAGTCACTAAATATTAATGACCTTTTCCTCATAAAATATGAAAATACAGAAAAGCTGATGATAAAATAAGAAAATTACCTATAATTTGATTTCTTAGAAATAACAACTGCTATGGACTAAATATTTATGCCCATCCCCCCCAAAATATTTTTAATGTTGAAATCTAGTCCCCAATGCATTGGAGGTGGGGCTTTGGTAAGTGATTAGGCCATGAATGCAATTAGTGTCTGAATTAAATTGGTCCCAGGGAGCTCTCTTCTCCTCTTCCTCCTCCTCCTCCTCCTCCTCCTCCTCCTCTTCTCCTCCCTCTTCTTTCTCCTCTGTCTCCTCCTCCTCCTTCTTCTTCCTTATCCTCTTCCTCCTCCTTCTTCTTTGCTCCTTCTCCCTCCTCTTCCTCCTCTTCTGCCATATGAAGTTACAATGAGAAGATGGAGGTTTATCAACCAGGAAGTGGACCTTTTATCAGACACCCATTTGCTGGCACTTTTATGGTGGACTTGCCAGCCTCCTGTACCATGAGAAATGCATTTCTGTTGTTTATATGCCACCCAGTCTGTGGTATTCTGTGACAGCATCCTGAATTGAAGAAGGCAGCAACAAATAAGAGTAGTACACTTCCTTTCAATGTGTTGTATGTTTGTTTTGACTATGAGATAGTATTTTTGTGCTTATTATGACCCAAGCATTTTCTATTTTCTATGAAGCCTCCACAACCTTTGAGTGCAGGGCTCACTCTATCTTTCCTTCTTCTTTTTTTTTTTTTTTTAAGAGAAAAGGGAGAGAGAGAGAGAGAATTTTTTTAATGTTTATTTTTTAGTTTTCAGCAGACACAACATCTTTGTTGGTATGTGGTGCTGAGGATCGATCCCAGGCCGCACGCATGCCAGGCGAGCGTGATACCGCTTGAGCCACATCCCCAGCCCATATCTTTCCTTCTTTTGAACTTCAATGTGTCCTTGAAGTCCTACCTTCAGTGTCATTGCTCTGCTTCATCTGTGCTCCTTTTGCATCTTGTTCAGCACCTCCAGTATGATACTTTAATAGCAGATGACACTTATCTGTTTATCTACATCCGTGACTAGATCAAATCAGCCTGAGGCAGGGGCTGTTTTTGGTTGTTTTGTATCTCTGATGCTTATATTGTGTTATAGTTTGGATGTGAGGTATCCTCCAAAAGCTTGTGTGTGAACACTGCAAGATTTACAGAAGAAATGATTTGGTTATAAGAGCCTTAAACCATTCAGGGAATCAATACTTATGGGATTAACTGAGTGGTGATTGAAGGTGGGTAGGGTATGGCTGGAGGAGGTGGTCACTGGAGGTGTGCCTTTGGGGTATATGTTTTGTATCTGGTGAGTAGAGTCTCTCTCTGCTTCCTGCTCATCATGTGAGCCACTTCCCTTGGCCATGAAGTTCTGCCTCACTTTGAGCCCCAGGAATGGAGCCAGCTGTCTATGGATTGATATCTCTAAAACTATAAACCCACAAATAAACTTCCCTTCTCTAAAATTGTGCTGGTTGTGTCTTTTAGCCTACAGTGGCAAAAAGCTGCCTAAAACATATTGTTATAAAAACCAATCTGGAAAAACTCATCATTGTAGTCTGACATGGAACACAGAAGTGTCTGTGTCTTGCAGTGTTCCTGTTTCATGGATCCAGTGGAGAAATAGTCCTCGGATCCCAGGGGCAGGTAAAAAACATCTTGCTCCTGAAAAGCAGGTGTGCCTTTCCCATTGGAATTTACCATTGAGAATCAGAATTCAGGGTATAGTGGAGCATTTTAAGCAATCATGTTGGAATGCATCTCCACTAGCAGAAGCTATGCAGATGAGGCCCTTAAAGGATCCCACTAAATTATTTTGACCCACAAGAGACTCTGCATTTAGACATCTGCCATATGTAACCATTGACTACCGAGGAAGGACCAACCTCAATACTTACACAGAATTTTGCCTCCCCCTTCCACACCTATTTTTAAGGCCCAGAAAGATGGGAGAAGAAAAGGGAAACCAGTAGAGGAAGAAGAAAGGTGAAGGAGAAAAGAACTCCTTCCACAGTGGACAAGAAGGCTCCTGAGTTAGGAGGAAGAGAGTTAAGTAGGACATGAGTTTGGAGCTTGCAACTAGATCAATTGTATTAGATCAGGCATTTTTATATCTGAAAATGACCATAAAGATTTACCTAAACTGTCACTTAGGGAAGGAAGTAAAATTCACCAGAGCTTTTTCAGGAGAAGTCACAGGAAGAAATACATTCTCTGTTTGAACTCTACTGAGTTTAGACCTTTCAATAAACTGTCTAAACACCAAAAAGAATAAAAGAGAAAAAGCAAAACAAAGTTTCCCAGCTTGCTTGATATTCCTAGTACTCTCCTTTCCCTGTCCTAATTTTCCTGTGGCCCTCTACCTTATGAAAAAAACGGTTTATGGAAAAGGAAAGGAGAGAAAGTTTGAATGGGTTAGACAGAGCAGTGGCAGGAGGATGGGTGGCAGGAAATTAGCAATCTAGACTAGATCTAGACTCAGGAAATCCCAGTGACACTGGAGGCCAAGGACATATCATCATTATCAAACTGAGGCCATTCAGTCAAATGCTCCAGAGCATTGGAGAGCTAAAGTTCTCCACCATACTCAATGGTCCCCATTTTGTGGAGTGAGCTCAATAGAAATAACACTCATCTTTTTTTTTTCTGTGCCTATATTCACTTCTTCCCAGGACAGTTGGAAAAATTTAACTGGTACATTAAACTGGGTATAGGTCAATTCCTTGCTCCTTCCTTCTGTGATCGAGCTTCCCCAAAGCCACAGACTCTATCTTGCCTTGCCACAAGTGACAGGGGAAACTGACTCCACTGCGGGGGGTGGGGTGGGGGGGTGGGGTGGGGTGGGACTAACTCCACTGGGGGAACTTGCAATGGTGGGTCTATGATCCCCGGGACTTGATGGCCAACCCAGCCTGATTCAAATGGTAAGAGGTGCACTAGCTCACACATGTCCTTCAACCTAGCTCTTCTCAGGAATGTAGGTGATATTTTGGTTTTGTTCTATCTTAGTACTTTATTTCTCCATGGGTTCAGAAATTGTGTAGAGGAAAGGATTAACATGAGTGAACACTCTCAACACAGACAAGAGATCATCAATGTGACTGATCAGGATGAGAATGTGCTCTACATAACAGAAGCAATAGTCAGAGTTTGAGAAGTGGAGAGATGTCTGGGAAAAGACACAAATGATGCATGAGCCATTCCAACCCCAGCATGGAACTTCCAGAGAGATGCAAAGAAGAAGGTTTAAATATGCCTTATGGCAGGTGAGGACTAGTAATAGAGTAGATTTAGGAGCAAACTCTTATTAAAGTGAGTTAACCCCAGCTCCATTCACACAGGGAGGATTCAGTCTGCAATGATCAACAAATATTTGAAGACTTCCTGGTAGGTAAATAATACTACGTGGTGTTTTATAGCGCTTACAGGAGAGGCAGTCCAACACCCAATAAGTTTATAGTCTAATATAATTTAAGGAAATGTCAACTTTTCTTCCTGCCATGAAAACCACATTTTCCTCAGAGGTTTCCACTCAAATTCTTTCCAATTTTACCCTCCTTGCTTTATTGATTCTGCAGCCTGGTGAAGAAGGTAAGAGATTAAACTTGCTTAAAGGAATCAACCAGTAAGATCCAATGGAACCACTCAAATCCTGTTGAAGGGCTGAACATTCTCAAGCATACAGGATTTTTGAAGATACTCACAAAACAATTTAAAGAAATAGAGATATGCATCACCATTCCTAACATATTTTCCCTGTAAGGTTAGAAAAGCCTGAATTCAGCACAATTCTTGTCCTAAATAAGTGTTTCATAATGATATTTATTCAAGTTCTTGTTATAACATAGCTAACAAGGGCCAGATTGGTTGTGGTCGAATTATATTCGCCGTTTTGTGGGCTACATATTTGTAAATAGGCCAGATTGTGGTCTTAATTGGGGCCATTTGGGGGGTTTGGGGTGGTTCAACAAGGTCACTGCATCTCACTTCTGTGGTTCTTCATTAGTCATTTTGTGTGCCAAAGTGCAGCAAGCATGAAAGGCCAGATAGCATATTTGCTTTGGGAAAACTAGCAGGCTTCCAAAGCATGCAATGCTGTAGATGACTCAAGGTGTCAAAAATGATTTTCCTCAAACTTGCTGTAGTTCTCTTCTCTTCTCAGAAGGAGGTTGTCAGGGTAGGTCAGCATGGAGGAAGGAGAATAAGCTTTGGAGTCAGGCAGTGCAACTCTGCCACTTACTTGCTATATAACTTTAGGTAAGCTCCAGCTAAGGCTTGAATCTGTACCCCAAAAGTTGTATGTTGGATCTTAATACCCCAATGCAGCAGTATGAGAGTAGGGGCCTTTAGAAGGTGATTAAGCCAGGAGGCTTCTGCCATCAAGAATGAATTAGTGCTGCTATCACTGGAGTGGTTCAGTTATTGAAGTAGTTTCCCCATAAAAGGAGGAGTTGGCTTTATGCTCTCTTGTCCTTCTGCCTTCCACTGTGGGATATTG